ATATACTTACTTATACACATAATTTATAATAAATCATCTTAGATGTATTACAAAAATTTGTAAGAATATATTACAATATGCAAATGGTGGGGCACAAGCAGATTAAGAAATATAATGTGTCAACTTATAGAACCTCCATGAAGGGACAGCTACTATATTGGCCCCTCAAATACCAGGACTAATGTTAGCTGTTGGTAGCGTAATTTCCCAAAATTAAGTCAATTCTTGGTAAAGAACAAGTGAGCAATTCTTGCTACAATACTGAACCTTGTAAAAGTACAATAGTTTCTCTGTTTAAACAACAGTTGCATTCCTGGAGAATTCAGCATATATGAAAACCATGGAAGAAAAAAAAAAACCCTGCATTTTTATGTAAAGCATAATTCTTAGCTCAGATATTTAGAAACAGGTTTTTCACCCCCATGAATGTCCAGCAGGATACTGAAAGGTCACTCAGGACGTGAGACAGCTCTCCATTATGCGGGGCTAGCTCACACATTGCAAGACATCTCATCTCCATTCCCCACCCACCAAGTTCCAGCAGCTCTTGCCCTTCATTATGCTAAGCCACACTGTACCCACATTTCTCAATCGCCTCTGCTGAAAACCACACATATATAATCAACCTGTTTCATGTGAATTTTTGGAAATGAGACCTCTAAGTGTGACTGTGGTAGTTAAGTTTGTGTGTCAACTTGGCGGCTGCACCTGGTTGAGTGTCTGGGCAGCTGGATGGAGTATTCCCCATGATGAAACTGGTAATCAACTCCATAGTAGAATCTACTGTGAGCAGCTGAATAGCTGCCTTAGGAGTGGGATCTGCTTCCTGTATATATGGAGAAGCCCTGGGGAACAGTCTCTAGCTTATGGCATGCTTGGACCCTGCATATAGCCGTGTTGTTCAGCAGCCTATCATCTCTTTCAACCTTGGGACTTTCAATGGACTTGAATGAATGGCCTGCTGTGTAGTTTGTTAACATCGGGACTGTGCCTTTTTACTTGTCAACCTTGGGCTTGTCAACCTCAGAAGCCAGCAGCTGAGCGAAAAAAAACCTCTAGCTCCAGTGGGCTGGGAGCAGGAAGCAGAGCTGAAGCCCAAGGCTGAGGGGCTTTCACCCAGCCCTGAGAGCCTGGTACTTTGAACTCGGACTTAGAGCTGCCACACTGTAAAAGAATAAACTCCTGTTTGTTAAAGCCATCCCATTTGTGGTATATTCCTGTCAGAGCGGCAGTAGGTAACTAAAACAGTGTTTGAACGTTAACAAAACATATGCAGCACAGGCGAAATGTTCAAGATAAATTCAAAAGGTTTATTGCACCAAATGCCACAGAGAAATGGATCAAAATAATACATAAACAAGTTTTAAGAAAAATTTTGCACACCTTGACATTGGTATCTATTCAACTGATCTAAAATATAAAGTCCTATCAATTTGTCTTAATGGAGCTTCAATAACAACAAATCCCAGAATATTCTTTTTTATAAAAAATGCAATTTAAATTTAAGCATATTGCAATCTCGCTGCCAAGCAGATAGATGGTTCACCAAATTCTGACATTTAAAAAAAAAACATTCAAGGGGACTGTGTGATTTAGGCAAAAGTTATATTAAAATACCCCTTTCCACCCCAAGCAGAACAAAAAAGCAAATGGTTCACATTTGCCAAAATAAAGCTAAAGATTTTTTCAATTTAATGATGAAATTATGCATGAACAAAATACTCTCAAAAGTAAATATTAGTGAAAAACTGCAGACATTTAGAAGAATTTTGGGTTCACTTTATAGTCTTTATTTTTATGTACAATCAGCTCTAAGTGAATAATCTAAAAAGCTACAGACTAAATTTTTATAAAATCTCAGGACCTAATTATAAGAGCCCAAACAACAGTTTAGTATCATTTAGCAAGTGGGGATTTCCCTCCCTCCAAAAAGTTAATTCTGAAAAATATGGTAAGTGTACAAAGTTGTGATGTGTAAACGGCAGTTCCATGGGATGTGAAAGATTATAGTTATTTCATTAAAAAACAGCACACTTCAGAAAAATGGATTGAAGCCTGTACAAAAAGCTATTTAACACTGATAAAAATAAAATACTTTGGAATTATGCACAAGTATGGAAGCTACATTTTAAATTGTCATTGTCATGTTTAAACATACGCAATTACCTTTACATTCATATCACTTGTCAATTTATTAAAAATAAAACTGCAACATGCTAGAAAGAGGTCCATCACAGTAACATTTACACACTTCTGCTCTGTCATGCCTCACTAGCTTGCTTTAAAAAGCAAGATGCTACAAAAATTACACTCAACAGGTAAGACTCAAAAGTTGAAGAAACCCTAAAGGTGGAATCCTGTCAACTGAGGTAGTTTTATTATTATTATAATTTTTTTTTCTTGTGGTGGGCATGGGAGAGGGTGGGATCCCTTTCTTGCCTCTTTAGCTAAGTCAGAATGAAACCACTGTGTGGCATGTGTTGTGTGAGTGGGAGCATCTCAACACAATTCCACGAGTTTTTTTTTTCTTTTCTTTTCTTCCACTATGCTACCAGAGCTCCCTCACTTTTGGAAAGGGGTTGAATTTAAGACAAAATTTGAATGTTATTTAAAGGAGGATTATAAAAGAGCAGCAACATTCTAGGTCTGCTTTTGCAGGCAACAGATATGAGGATGAAGTACTGACTGGAATTCTGAGCATCATTGAGACAAGCCCCACATATGACCCACCTGTAGTTTTCCAACAGATATTTCTCCAAGAGAGAGTTTTAGAACATTAAACTAAGAAGCAAATTAAATGTGTATCAAGCTTTGAAGAGGACTGAGCTATATCTTTAATGTTTAGAGTTCAGAATCAGTCATTTAAAGCTCAATTTCCCCCATATGGGTCAAATTTCAACATGTTTAATTTATGATGAGGTTCATATTATAATTGTACTGACTTTATATTGAGTTATTTTCTATGGAACCCTGAAAGGTGATGTGTGAGAAAAAGTGCCCAAAATATGTAAACAAGGAAAGGCAACTCGAAATGAGGGGAATGATTTAAATTGGTACAGATTCAAAAGATGTACCATTAGCTGTTATGATTTTTTCACACGTAATGAGAAACCAGTGATGAGTGAGCTGAGCCACTGGTGAGGTTCATTCTCTTTTGCAAACAATGATGACACGGAATTAGAGAATTTAAAACACCGAACTCAAATGTTAAACTAATGGAAATATAAAAATATATTAAAACAATGTAAAACCTCACTTTTATGAAAGACAGACATAACATGAAAATTAAAGATCATAGAGCCTTTATGTACCCATTTACATTTTACATAATGAAGAGAGAGGGCATGCTAACAGTTCTGATCTATCCCTAAGAAATAATTCACCCATTTTCCCCGTTGGTACTGTTGGTATGCTCTTTCAAACAAGTAACTAACATGCATGTATCAAAGCATAAGAGACAAATGGATGTACATTGTACTTAGGATTTAACCATATAGCAATTCTGAAGTCACTCTAACTCCTAAGAGGGCGGTGAGTTCATGTTCTTAGGTACGAAGGACAAATGGAAAGGCCTGGAATTAATTCAGCAAAAAACACTGAAAGGAAACCAGAGAAAGCCTGGTTATAATTAACTGCCCTCAGATCTGCAAGGTGTTAAGTTTACTAGATTATAACTTTACTAGATTAATGCCTCTATTTTAATGCTTAATTTTATTTTTTAAAAGTCTTTTTGTTTTCATCTCAGCATACAGTCTTCATGGTCACTAAACTAAGTAACATTTCTTTCATATTAACAGAAAATTTAAGTTTTGTTTTTTAAGTGAATTATGCTAATGAATAAATAATTGTTCATTTTGGCAAGTTTTGTATGATGGGCCAGTTAACTTCTAGAAAGGTGGTTTTCTTTCTTTTTATAATGTAGAAGGCACAGATAATGTAAAAACTGAAATCATAAATGGATCATTTCTAAATGTTCAGACTAACTATTTCCATTAGTCATCCTCAATTGTGGCAGGTTCCATTTCCCACTAGGACAGTTGTGACTTTTAAAGTATAAAATAGTCATTTGCATGAACTATCATAGGAAGAAAGTGACTTCAGCTAGAAGAATGTACCAACAGAAACACTCTTATTGAAATAACTTTGGTACATGGCCTTTCTTAAACAGGCCACTGAAAGCTCTGAAGCCCAAGCACGAACATATGGTGTCAGATCATGCACTGTGCTGCTACAAACTACATCATAGTGGGATTAAGATGCTACTTTTGGGTTCACTATAAAAACCCTACACCACCAATCCATCCCTAACCTACCTGTGGCTGCATCTGCACCAACTGTAAACTCCAAGAAAAGATGCAAACAGTGGGTCCCAAAAGCACTCTGTCTTTCCAACAGGCAAACCTCTTTCGCGTTTATGTCACACAGTAACACCTACAGCCACCTGAGCTAAAGATGGTACGCTGTGGCTTTCTTCATTTCACCTTTTGTAAAAAGCAAATTCTGACTTGGAATCTTAAGTTCTTGTTCCAGCGGTCTGCCCAGAATAGCCAAATATGCTTTCTCCATCTTGGAGGGCTCACACGTAGACTTTGAAACATTTTCCTACTGGAATGACATGTGTATTGTTTATCTTACATTTACCAAAAATGTGAACACACCCATCTCACTTGTCTTTATTCTGCCCAAACAGCACAAAGCTGTAACAAATGCCTTGAGTTTACTGTAGTGCTTATGTTTCTTCCTACCAAAAAAAGGTCACTCTGTTGATTCATGGGTAACAAAAGGCCTAAGGTGTTCAGGAAAATCACAAATGCCATTATATCAAGTAAACCTAAAGTCTTCCAATGAAGCATTGCTTGAAAGCAAGAGAACAAAAACAAAACGGTGGAATGACATTTTCTGCTTGCTCTTCTTATGCTATTGATGTCACAAAGAGCTTCTTTCTTTCTCCTTCAGGTGAGAATTTGATTTTTTTTTCCAAGGAAGAGCTGTCCTGAGCTTTATAAGAGTATTTGAGCCACATAAGGGGAATGAGTACTGGCAATAGCAGTCAACAGAGGCAGGTCATTAGATTCAATCCTAAATATTGAAAAAAGAAAAGTCATTTTAAAACAGCATGTCTTTATTAGGGAAACATTATTTCTAGGTACCAAGGTTGTTAGATAATTGTTTCAATCTAATGAAAAAATATAATAGATGTAAAGACGATAAGCCTGTTTTTTTAAATAAAATTCCTCAGTGAATGCTGTCTGAGAGAATAAAATAAGACAAAACAAAACAACAATAATAAAAAAAGAACAAGAAAAAAAAAAGGCAAGACAAAAAACTAGAGCTTCTCGTTTAAAAATAAAGGACTGCTTTATATTTGGGTGCTTGCTCACTATATCTGTCTATCTATGTCTGTCTATCTATCTATCTATCTATCCATCTCAGTTGTTACTCCCTCTATTGGTCATCTGTGTAATTTTAACTAATAGAAATATAATTTCTAATAAATGAAATTTTAATTAAGAGAAATGCAGGCAGGTATGCCATGCATACAAGTGGTTATGTGCACACACGCAGACATGTACATCCATGAGGGCATGTGGATGCATATTGAGATGTGCACACATGTGGACATTTGCATGTTTTTTCTGGTGACGTAATGCCTAAGGCACCTGACTGCTAACCAGAAGGCTGGCAGTTCAAACCCAGCAGCCACTCCTTGGAAAGAAGGTTGGGCAATCTACTTCCATAGTAATACTGCCTTGGAAACCTAAGGAGGGTCACTATGAGTCGGATCTGACTCAACAGCAATGAGTTGTTTCCCCCCCGCCCCCATAGTCTGGGTCACACTAAGGAGTTCTGGTGCTGTAGTGCCTAAAGCATTTGACTACTGACCAGAAGGCTGGCAGTTCAAACCTACCAGCTACTCTGTGGAAGAAGATGGAGCAATCTACTTCTGTAAAGACTTACTGCCTTGGAAACCCAGTGGGGGTCACTGTGAGTTGGAACTGACTCAATGGCAGTGAGTCAGGTTTTTTTTTTGGTTTGGGCCATACTACTTTAAGTCTATCACTTCCTTATATCCCCTTTATAACCTCATTATGTCATACTTTAATGTTTTCTCCATTATTCATTATTCCTTCAGTCAACATGCCTGAATGCATGCCAATTTTGTACCTAGGTTCAAATGAGTCCTTGGAAAATTTTGGGGATCTGCTCAATAGTGTATACAATTTAGATCTTCCCAGGCATCTGAGTCACAATATTCTGAGAGCAACAGACACTAAAAGACGTTGAATTGAGAAATTATGCTTCAAATGGACATAGCATTGGCAGCCCCTCTTTAAGCAGAAGCTGATATAGTACAGCCATTGGCTAAATGCCACCAAACATAACGGAAAAGCCAGGATAGCCTCAATCTGTGGAGTATGTCCTAATTCTTTCCCTTGAATTCTGTATCTTTTAAAAAAAAAAAAAAGGTAGCTGGCATAGTGTTTTTATTCCTTTTTTCAATAATGCTACCTAGAGTTCTAATTTCAAAGTAGACAAGAAGTTCTCCAGTACCATTAGTGCTGCTTCCCTGACCATGTAGGAAGGGAATAAAGAGAGGATGAATGTCATTTTCACTAATAATGGGCTAAGAGGATCTAGAGATGATCATAAGGTAAATAAATCCTTATGATCTCTATAGTTGTGTTGATAGACACCTGTCAGGGCCAGAGACTAAATAAATGCCAAATAAACATAATATATACACAAAGGGAGACTTCATGAGGCAGGACTAGGGAAAAGTATGAGATTGGTAAAGATATACATACAAAACTAACAAAAAACACACACAGCATAAAGTCATGTTACATGTCAACCATAAAGGGAAATTCTTCAGAAGCAGAAGATATTTTTCAAATGAAGCATATAAAATAAAAGAAGGCAGGAAGTATGAAAAGTCAAGACAGTAAGTCATACCCTAGGAGTTAAAGATGGAAAGTGTGACAAGACTGTGGAGGAGAGATGGAGGCCTTAACACAGAACTTAAAGGAAGATAGTATATATACAATATTTTCTTTCCCAAAATTAGGGGGATCATCATCATCATCGATAAGAGGACAATTCCTCATATACAATGTCTTTTTGTTCTCTGTTGAAAAATTAAGTAGAGAATAAAACAAAAGTCAAAATTTCTTCTCCCAGAGAAGTTACAGCAAATGCCCTCTGGAAGATGGTACACATCACCAATCGCATAAAACACGTTTCTACTTCAGGTAGGTTTATGATGAAAGGAAGGGAAATGCAGCCACCCTACTGAGACCCAGGTCCCTGAAAGTCCTGGAGAAGGGCAGCTCTTGTGGCCTGGAGGAAGGTGCTACCAATTCCTCCCCTGGGGGGCAAACTGAAAACACAAGTGCTGCTTCCAGGTCTGACAGCCTGTGACTGTGGCATCTCACTGACATTGTTAAAGATGGGCAGAGTGGGATTCGATTTTTCACTTTCTAGCATGAGAAGGGAGTCCCTGAGTGGTACAAATGGTTAACACTTGGCTATGACCAAAAGGTTGGAGCTTTGAGTCCACCCAGAGGTGCCTTGGAGAAAGGCCTGGTGATTTACCTCTGAAAACCAGCCCATGCAAACCCTATGGAGCACAGGTCTGCTCTGACATACATGAGGTTGCCATGAGTTGGAGATGACCTGATGGCAACTGGTTTTTAGCATGAAAATAACTCAGGGAGAAAGGAACAACATACAATTGACCACCAGTTTACAGTTCTGTGACTTGTTTCCAGGTGTAACAAAGCAGTAACAGATACAAAGAACATGCTGTTCCTCAGAGAGCAGCAGAGGTAGACACTGAACCCTTCAGTGGGTTACTAGACCCTGTAGACTGCAGATGGTACTGGCTAAATGGGTCAGTGGGTAAGTGCTAGGGACAGCACCGTTCACAGAAAGGATGGCAGCATTTCACAGAACTTACCCCAGCACAACGCCTAATTCTTTCACATGGACTCGCGTGTGTCCCCGAAGATATTCAGACAGCATTTTACTTTTAAGGTACATCTCCTGTAGTCTATCTTCAAGATGCATGATGCACTGTGAGGCCAAGAACATTCACAATGAGGGCAAGAATTCACATCTCTGCCAATATTTTAAGAGCTACAATTCTCTTAACTCATTTCTAAGTACATAGCTATAAGCTCATCCTTTCAAACAAACTTACAAAATTCCAAGTCATCTCAAACCCTAATACTAGCAGGTATAAAAATAAGCTTTTGTAAAATAAAAAAGTTAATGTATTTTCTAACTAATATTAAGCTTTTCATATATCTTTCTAGCCTTTATTCAAAAATCATTTATTTATTATTAGTCAAGATTACGCTATAAGAGAAATTACTGCCTGCTTTTTAAAAACTTTATAACAATATTCAATTTTTATTGGGAATTCTTTATTGATATAATTTTATAGCTAACTAATTTTCGAGAATATGAACATACCACCATTTACTTAACCACAGAACAATCAGCATTTTTGTTATTAGAAATAATTTTGTAAAGAATATCTTGCATTGTTTTCACTTATATCTCAGATTATATTGTTGCAATGCATTCCCAGCAGTGGAATGCTTGGAACAAGGTTATTTTGGATTTTTGTTTATTTGTTTTCAAGGGTGCATTTTAACTAGGTCTTTAGTAACAATAAAGAAAAGGCAATTTATTTTCAGGACATCTCCTACCCTTGGAATTATGTCCAACTTCATTTTTCAGAGAACAGCAGCCATCTGTGTCTTTCACCAGAGGCAAATGCTTTTGCATTTGGCAGGCAGAAATAGTCAAGCATCTTCAGTAAGACACCTGATGGCTTTGGCAAAGATAATTCCATCATACACAATTTTCTTCTAGACCATTACGCCTGTTATTTTCAAGGTAAAAAGATTAACAGATGCATTTGAAAATGTTGATCTTGACCATCTGGGCAGATCGATGACATGGAAAAAGCATCCGTTAGAGATGTGATCTTTTCAGTTTTTCGTTGCTTAAAATCATAAATGTATTGTATTGGGTGAAAGAAATAAAACTAGTTAGTGACTAAGAGTTATAATCAAAGCAGGGAAGATTTCACCACTTTTTATGTAAATATCCCCCAAGTAAACCGAGTTAAGTTGTGAAAGGATTTCATGTTAAGTTTTAGCTCTTTATGTTATGAAATACAGTTTTTAATTTAATAACCAACCAAAACTAAACCCACTGCCATCAAGTTGAATCAGTTTTTCATAACCATGCTATAAAATATTTAAAAGAGCATTCATGTTACATTGAATCCTTTATTCCTTTATCTTTTAAAATAGTTCATTCACAATGTTTCCAGAGTCTCCCAAAAACTCTATGTTGCAATGTGGCAATATAAAGAATACATGTCTAGGTAGAATGTATACTTAATTTGCAAGCAAAGAATTTGGACAATTTTTTAAAAAGCCTTCTTTGATTATCAAGTGGATTTGTGTTTGGCCACCTACTCTCCTCAAGATGGGATTTTATTTCTTGGATTTTATTCCTGAGATGGATTTCTTCAATTTTCAACTTCTGAAATCTTAAAGTGGTTTTTATAGTTTAATTTTCATCAAAATTAGCTACATTTTCCTTTCCTACCAAAAAGAAAAACAAAACACATTGGTGTCAAGTCGATTCCAACATCTATTTCAGTCTTTTCATTCTTTTTCTTTTTAATACTTTTGCTTTCTTCATGTATGATGACTTTGATGTCATTCCACAACTCATCTGGTCTTCGATCATTAGCATTCAATGTGTCAAATCTATTCTTGAGATAGTCTAAATTCAGGTGAGATATATTCAAGGTTATACTTTGGCTCTCTTAGACTTGTTTTAGTTTTCCTCAGCTTCAACTTGCACTTGCATAGGAGCGACTGATGGTCTGTTCCACAGCTGGCCTCTGATATTGTTCTGTCTGCTAAAATTGAGCTTCTCCATCATGTCTTTCCACAGATGTAGTCGATTTGATTCCTGTGCATTCTATCTGGCGAGGCCCACGTGTACAGCTGCTGTTTATGTTGTCAAAAAAAGGTTATGTCCAATGAGTAAGTTATTGGTCTTACAAAATTCTATCAGGTGGTCTCCAGTGTTGTTACGATCACCAAGGTCATGTCTTCCAACTACTGATCTGTCTTCTTTGTTTTCAACTTCCACATTCCAACCACCAGTAAATATCAATGTACCTTGACTGCACGTTTGATCAATTTCAGAAAGCAGAAGTTGGTAAAAGTTTTCAATTCCTTCATTTTTGCATTAGTGATTGGTGTGTAAATCTTAATAATAGTCTTATTAACTGGTCTTACTTTTAGGCATATGGATACTAACCTATCACTGACAGTGATAGATCTTGAACTGTTATTTTTAACAATGATATGATACCATTCCTCTTCAATTTGTCATTCCCTGCACAGACTACATGATTTTTTGATTCAAATTCACAAATACCAGTCCTCTGTAGCTCACCAATGCCTAGGATATCTATCAATAAGCATCCATTTCATTTTTGACTATTTCTGATTTTCCTAGATTCATACTTCATACATTCTACATTATCACTATTAATGGATGTTTACAACTCTTTCTTCTCATTTTGAATCATGCCACATCAGCAAATGAAGGTCTTGAAACTATCCATGTCATTAAGATCAGCTCTACTTGGAGGAGGTAACTCTTCCCCAGTCGTATTCTGAGTGTCTTCCAACCCGAGGCACCCATCTTCTAGCACTCTATTATACAGTGTTCTGCAGCTATTCAGAAGTCTTCACTGGCCAATTTTTTTAGAAGTAGATCTCCAGGTCCTTCTTCCATGTCTGTCTTAGTCTGGAAGCTCCACTGAAATCTGACCACCATAGGTGACCCTGCTGGCATCAGAAACACCCATGGCATAGCTTCCAGCATTAGGGCAACAGAGAAGCTACTACTGAGCGACAAACTGACAGATGAGTGATGGTGTATGTAGAGGTTGGTAAGTTCCGATTCTGTGGGTCAGACATCAGGCTAGAGGCTTCTCCTGACTCACATGGTTGCTGGGTCTAACAAATCCAAAAATCAGCAGGTCAGATGGTGGGCCGCTGGCTCAAGTCATTCATACTATTAAATGGCTAAACCTATTTCTGTCCAAATTAAGAGAAAAGAATTAACTATCGTAATTGGACAACTGAGATGTTAAATAAGCTGTGTATATACAGAATACGTTTTTCTTTCATCTTCCTTCATTTTCCAGCCTTTGCATGCATACGAACCAACTGTAAATACCATGGTTTGTGTTCATATAAAAGTTTAATAAATACATAACACTAAAAGTCTAAGAAGCTTAATATATTTTCTTTCCTTTGCAGAAAAGAAGACTTCAGCCTGTAAATAAGGATAATCCAACCTGCTTCTAGAAAGAAGGACTACCTACATATGTAGGACAAAAGGAGGGTTGTAATAACCCATAAATGCTTGTCATATTACCCCATGACAGATGTCCTACAAGAGTATACTTTGGTTTAAAGCCCAAATAAAGATTTCAGTGAAAAGGTATTGTCAGTCTTTGCATAGCATTACAATTGTTTCAAGAAACTGTTACTAACAAGCATACTAACGATAGCTGTTTCCTGAATCCTTATAATGTCTAGGATGATTTCAAGTACTTTATGTGAATTATCTAATTGGATTTCATAGTCATTATAAAATAGGTTCTACTACTTCACTAGCTTCATAGACAGGATTTGAGGCTTTGAGAGGTCGCACAGTTAGTAAGGATCACAACTTGGAATTTGCTTCAGCCTATCAGACTCTAAAGCCTGGGCATTAGCCATTAAGATACATTGTCTTTTAAAGTATGTTATATTGGATTATTGTTTTGACAACTTAAAAATCAACATCTTAATCTTCATATTCAGAGATTCTCCTGTTTAGTAGGCACTATCTTTCTTTTATAAATAAGAAAGATGATGTTCAGAGATGCTCAGGATTGTCACCATCACACAACTAATCAATGGCAAAGTCTGGCCTGTAACCCAGTTATGTTCGGAGTCCTTCCTATTATGTAACACTGCCACTAATGAGCTAATGACCAGGCAGTATTCCAAAGTTCCTTTTAGTCCACACAAGTTCTGACATTTCTGAGGAATGTGGTGTGATTGTAGACTCAGTCATAATTACCCTGGAAAACTACCACTCTACATTAGCAATTAGTGTAGGCAATCGACATTAAGTTTACTATTTTGTTGGTAAATAGTTCTGTACCATTTATAGAGGCCAAAAGGGAGATAATGGATGCTCTTGTTTAGAGTTGTACTACAGAGAGCAACGGTGTGCAGAAGGAAGTGTGCAGAAGGAAACAGGAGAGAAAGTAGTTTCTTACATCTGCACACTAATCCCTGAAGTCAGATCATTAAGCTTTTTCTAGTTACACCCCCTTAAGCCTCTCTTATAATTCTGAAACCTTTCTCTGTCCCTTTCTAAATATAGAGCACTTTCTCTTTCATTCCTTTGTATGCATGCACACACACTGAGAAGAATTTGGTTTGTACAGTAATTCCAGTAACTAGGGGAGGGCTGCTGATAATTTTCCAGATGTTTATAGGCTTTTAGGTTGTTTGTGCTAAATACAACATTATGAAAGTAATTTAAAATCCCATTTGAAAAGGAACAAATGATACCACCTTCCTAGGACAGGGTCCTTCAAAATTTCAAATGTGTTCATACAAACAATGCTCTATTTCATCCTTAACAACTTTGTGAGGAAGGTCCTTAAGAAAAAGGAAATATAGTCCCTTCAGAAACTAGCCTTTGTGAATGAAAAATTTTTTACTTTCTCTTAAGCACAGTCCCTCCTCCCTTCACACCTTACTGACTTTGCTAAACACCTTATTCAAAAAGATTTGAGTGTCAATATATGTTATTTGTTTCCTAGAAGACCTAGTGTTATTGAAATTTACAGTTTGCTAGTTTTGCATTATATTTTCTAGTTTTACTTATGCTAACCCCCAATTATCCTTAAAAAAAAATTAAGTTTGTGATTTATAATCAAAATGCTGTCAGGAGTGTTTGTATAAACTAGATCTCTTTGGTGATATGAGGACAGATACTCACAAAATCAGCAGGGAGGTGAAGCTTATAAAGCTGCAAAATTGATTGAAGTAAACTGGACACCTGACTTGAGACCAAGACATCCTGGCCCAGTTTCATGTTGTCCATGACTTTCCTCTGACTCGTGGCAACCTGGACACTCCACTTATCTGTGTCTGCGATAATACAGACAGCTTCAGCTATTGGCTCATCAAGCACTGGATGCTGAAAGACAAATAACACAGTGGGTAAACTCTCCAGAACACCTCCAAGTGACACTCATAATATTCAGAGTATTTGGTTTAGCATTAGGCTAATGGTTCAGAAACTGATAGTGGGAGCTGCAAGAATTTAACAATTTGTTGTTGTTAGGTGTCATGAGGTCAGTCCCAACTCATAGCAACTCATGTATAAGAGAACAAAATACTCTCTGGTCCTGCCCCTCACAATCCTCACAATCACTGCCATGCTGAAGCCCACTGTTCTAACCACTGTGTTAATCCAGCTCATGGAAGATCGTCCTCTTGTGCTGACCCTCCACTTCACCAAGCATAGTGCCCTTCTCCAGAGACTGGTCTATGCTGATAGCATGTCCAAAGGACATCCTAGCTTCCAAGGAGCATTCTGGCTATTCTTCCAAGATAGATTTTTTTGTTGTTGTTCTTCTGGCAGTCCATGGTAGATTCTTCACCAAAACGATACTTAAAAACCATCAATTCTTCTTTGGGTCTTCCTTATTCATTGTCCAGGTTTCACATGCATGTGAGGCAAATGAAAAATACCATGGCTTGAGTCAGGTGCACTTTAGTCCTAAAAGTGCCAGTTTTGCTTTTCAACACTTTAAAGAGGACTTTTGCAGCAGATTTTCCCAGTGCAATATGATGTCTGATTTCCTAACTAGTGCTTTCATTGGCATTGATTCTGGATTCAAGTAAAATGAAATCCTTGACAACGTCAATCTTTTCTCCTTTATCATGATGTTGCTTATTGTTACACTTGTGAGGACTTTAATTTTCTTTACATTGACATGTAATTAATACTGAAAGCTGTAGTCTTTGATCTTTATCAGTAAGTGTTTTAAGTCATCTTAGCTTTCAGCAAGTAAGGTTGTGTCATCCGCATACTGAAGGTTGTTCATAGTCTTCCTCCAATCCTCATGTTATGTTCTTCTTCATATATTCCAGTTTCTGGATTGAGTAAGTATGTGGAAGGACACAACCCCAATGGACATCTTTCTTGATCTTAAACCATGCAGATACCCTTGTTCTGCAGAAACGACTACCTCTTGGTCTATAATGAAGTGTTTCGGATTCCCATTCTCCCAATGTTATCTATAATCTTCTTAAGATCCACACAAATTCCTTTGCATAGTCAATAAAACACAAGTATCTTTCTAGTATTCTCTGCTTTCAGCCAAGATACATGTGGCATCAGCAATGATATTCCTTATTCCATGTTCTCTTCTCAACCTGACTTGGATTTCTGGCAATTTCCTGTCAAGTACTGCTGCAACCATTCTTGAATTATCTTCAGCAAAACTTTACTGAGGTGTGATATTAAGATAGTGTTACATAATTTCCACATGGAATGGGCACAAATATTGATCTCTTCCAGTCGGTTTGCCAGGTAGCTGTCTTCCAAATTTCTTAACATCGACGAATGAGTGCTTTCAATGATGCATACATTTGTTGAAACGTATCACCTGGGATTCCATCAATTCCTGAAGCCTTGTTTTTTTGCCAGTTCTTTCAATGCAGCTTAGACTTCTTTCTTCAGTACCGTTAGTTCTTGATCATATGCTACCTCCTGAAATGGATGAATGTTGACCAATTCTTTTTGGTATAGTAACTTTGTATATTCCTTCCATCTTCCCTTGCTGCTTTCTGCATTATTTAGTTATCTTGTCCATAGAAACACTCTACAAAGGGTCAAACAGGAGTGCCACTAAATCATCATTTAAAATTTATTTGATAACAATTGCATTTAATCAGTATTTTGTCATATGCTCAGGAGAGACTATAAACGTGGTTAGATGTTCATATATAAATGAAAAGATGTGTACCCTCCCCAGATTCCAGTATTTTAACATTCATTTCCTTTTGAAAGATTGCACTGTCTTTTCAAAATGCAGAAAATCAGAATAAGGTGTAGAGTTCTATTGCTGTTTCTCAAATAGCAAGCTTAGGCAGGGCAACTTAACATTCCCTCTATTACAGCTTTAATCACTAAGTGATATTTATTGGACAATTATATGTGCTACTTACTATATACATCAACTCTAACAGCCAACTAAAACCATACGGGGGGGGGTTACCTTATCTAGATGAGTCCCAAAGGTCAAAGGATGGCTACTGGTGAATATAATTAAAGTATAAAATTATCAGTGATTAGACAGTCATAGAGCAGGTTGACTGCTAATAAATGTGCCTTAGAATAAACACTGAAGCAGTCAAGGAAAAGGTCTTTTAAAAAAATTTTAATTTCTCTAAATTGATGAAAGCATACTGCTTCACCGCCAAGACCTTGTGACACACACTTAGTATCCCATGAGTGTGCAAAACAACATTATAATGTTGTTGTTGTTGTTTGCCGTTGAGTTGGACCTGACTCATAGCGACCCCTCCTTGGGTTTCTGAGGCAGTATCACTACAGAAGGAGATTGCCCAACCTTCCTTCTGAGGAGTAGTTGGTGGGTTTGAACCACCAGCCTTCTGGTTAGCAGTCAAATGCCTTAGCACTATGCTACCAGAGCTCCCAACATTACAACAGGACTGCCCTTCTAAGCCCCAAACTAAAACTAGGGAGAGGGAGAGGGAAAAAGAGACCTCACAGCCAATGTATGTGCACAAATACTTCTAGCCCTAATTTACCAAAGGACAATTAGTACTGGCCTTCTTCTGTGTTCAACCCTATCCACTACCCTACGGTTGGTTTTGGTTGCTTAGCATAACTTCCTAATAATAAACTTTACCCTAATTTCCCTTTGGAGAATAACCTTTCCCAAACTGGGTAAAACCTGATGGGACTGTAATCAGGGTCTGACATTCCCTCTAACAAGATACAGTCACATGACCCAGCTAGGTCAATTAGATACTCCTTCCTTAGGGTTTCCTTGGGAGCAGATGGGCAGGGGGCTGAAGATGGTTGGTGTCACCATATTCCTGAATGGACAACAATTATTACTAATGCCTTCAGATAGTTTTTGTTCCTGACCTCCAAAGTAGCTTTGGTTTCTGCCTACTTCCAAGCCTAGTTCTCTGGTCTTATCAATTTTATGAACTCTTAATACCCTTCTAATAAAGTTCCTTTGGCTTAAGTTAACAAGAGTTGGTTTCCATTGCTTACAACAGATAGCCTAAATGGATACACAACCTTGCCATCAGGACAATGATTACCTCTGATTTCCAAGACTTAATACAAGTAGAGGGAAGGTTGCAAAGAAAAACCCAAGATGTACGATGTCGTATTGTAATTTCAATAAGTGATTTGGCTCCCTACTCCTGCAATAGTTTCTGGGCTTTGTTATCAAAAGAGGAGCCCGCCCAGCTTTGTCTTCCTTCTTACAGACGGGAAAGAACTGAGTGATGGGGCTGATATGAAAAGTTTGTTGGAATTAACATTTTTCTTATACTATGAGGAGCTCTGGTAGCATAGTACCTAAGGCACTTGACTGCTCACCAGAAGGCTGGCGGTTCAAACCCACCAGCCACTCCTCGGAAGGAAGGTTGGGCAATTCTACTTCCATAGTGATACTGCCTCGGAAACCCAAGGAGGGGTCGCTATGAGTCAGGGCCGACTCGACAGCAAACAACAACAACATATTTAAAGGAAGGCGCTCTGGTGGTACAGTGCCTAAGGCATTTGACTGTTAATCAGAAGGCTGGAGGTTCAAACCTCCCAGCTGCTCAGCAGAAGGAAGATGGGGCAATCTACTTCTATAAAGATTTACTGCCTCAGAAACCCAGTGGGGGTCACTATGAGTCAGAATTGACTCGATGGCAGTGAGTTTGTTTTTTGGTTTAGATATTTAAAGAAGAAACTCAGGGTTTACAGTATTTTTCCCATTAAAGAGAAAAGCAATCAGACAAAGTCTAATGGTCTCACATTTATTTAAGCATATATTCAAATAATCTTAAATATGCAAAATAATTTAATAAAGCCGACTCAAGTTAATGAAGTCCAGTTTCCTAAGTATCATTCTCATTTTTCAACAGAACAATGACCCCTCACTCTCACCCAAAGGTTTGTGCCCCCTCACCTCTCACTTTCTACTTACACAGATGAATACACTATGCAAAATAGATAGCTAAATACACAGGGCCTCAGTGACTTCTCTTTACCAATTCCCGCAAATTCCTGTTCAATCAGTGGGTCATAAATTCATAGCAAGATGTTGAGAACTTGCCATCCACGTGGCTTGGTTCTTATGAATAAAGGGAATAAAATTTTGAAAATGCAGGTTTAGAATTTTAAGAGATTTGAACTCAAGTCCTTCACTGCTTTACATTTGTCAAATATTCACAATGTGCTAGCTACCATCACAGAACAGATTCGTACTATGGACCTTTCCTTCATGGGATTTATATTTGCAAAGTGCATAAAATCATTACTGACCATAAGCCAACATATATGCAATGAGTTCAAAGTATGCCAGTCATTTTTCTTAGAAAAATCTAGACCCCTTCCCCTCAATTGATTTGGAGTAGATAATTTGGGGCCTAGGTTCCAACTGAACTCAATTTCCTAAATGATCCTCCCATCACAGTGGCAGGGAAGAAAAGAACATGTCAATTCAAAGAAAGCACATAGACTATAAAGTATATGGTACCACCACCACAGACACAAAAGAGGTTTGTTTTAAGCAATGAATTGCTCGAACAAGGGTAAGGTACCTGCACCGGTCAGGTAAGATATGGTAGATTCTCTTAAGCTTAAGTTACTTCCGAAGGTTCTAGATCCTAACACTGTAACTGTAACAAAAAGGAGAAGAGAAGTTGGCTCACTTATTTCAGAGAGCACTAAATGGGTAAAACTAAAAAAAAAAAAACTGCCATCGAGTTGATTCCGACTCATAGCAACCCCCATTGCATTTCGAAGGCTGTAAATCTTTATGGAAGCAGACTGCCCATCTCTCTTCTGTGGAATGGCTGGTGGGTTTGAACCACTGACCTTCTGGTTAGCAGCCAAATGCCTTAACTACTAAACCAACAGAGTTCCTTGAATGG